AGAACACATGTCGTTAGAGTTAATACAGACACTAGAATGTTTATAGATGGTGACAGACCTACAACACATGTCGTTAGAGTGAATACAGACGCTAGAATGTTTATAGATGGTGACAGACTTAGAACACATGTCGTTAGAGTGAATACAGTCCCTAGAATGTTTATAGATGGTGACAGACCTACAACACATGTCGTTAGAGGGAATACAGACCCTAGAATGTTTATAGATGGAGACAGACCTAGAACACATGTCGTTAGAGTGAGTACAGACCCTAGAATGTTTATAGATGGTGCCAGACCTAGAACACATGTCGTTAGAGTGAGTACAGACCCTAGAATGTTTATAGATGGTGACAGGCCTAGAACACATGTCGTTAGAGTGAATACAGTCCCTAGAATGTTTATAGATGGTGACAGGCCTAGAACACATGTCGTTAGAGTGAATACAGACACTAGAATGTTTATAGATGGTGACAGACTTAGAACACATGTCGTTAGAGTGAATACAGACCCTAAAATGTTTATAGATGGTGACAGACCTAGAACACATGTCCTTATAGTGAATACAGACCCTAGAATGTTTATAGATGGTGACAGACCTTGAACACATGTCGTTAGAGTGAATAAGGCCCTAGCATGAATGTAGACGTTACAGTAAATTCAGACCCTAGCAGTCATATTATTCTATGATCGAAACCCACAAATTTTGACCCCTAAAAATTGAATCAAGGCAACAACCTCAGACAGGCTAGGAGGCCAACAAGTTTGTGTGTCATTATGTAGATGAGGTCTTAGCTGGTCATACCCCCATATCAAGGTCGGTTATACCTTTTGATTGACCTAAATAATTTGTTTAGTACATTAATACCTGTATACCTGTATACAGACCAGAGATATATAATACCTGTATACAGACCAGAGATATATAGACTATTAGTATACCACTTAATGTTACTGACTTCAAACAGTGATAATTGAACGCCTCGGTAGGTGATTTGTTATCCTACAGAATAGCCAGGATATCTACACACAGCGTCTTGTGTACATCCGGTTAGGTGTGATCTGAAGTACACATCAAGTATTGAATAATTATGAAAAGTTGTTGAGAAGGACATTAGAAAATGATATCAAGTCATTTATCAGTAATCAAGCTCAATAAAGCAATAGACATTTCAATGAGAAAAGTGACTTATCTCATACCAATCTATTGAAAGGAAGTGCTCAGAGGAGATTGGCTTTATAGAGACAGGAGAGATCAATGACCTGTCTCGATCTTTGCTGAAATGTAACTGAGCATGCCAGGTGTGTTGTACAGGTGTGCCATACCTGTACAGGTGGTAGAGATCTAGAGGGTTCTGTTATGTACATCTGCTGATACACTGCTTTAACAATGATCTCCAAGCTAGCTGTGTTCAATAGGGACTCTAAACACAGGCCAGTTAGGTATAAATCAGTAACTAGGGTCATAATCAGTAGGAAATATAAATACCGTAAGCTTAATACACCTAACCCATTCACCCCTAAAGTCACATTTGAACCTTACCAAATCAATGACTGGGCAAGTCCAGTTTAGATAAGTAGGGGTAAATGAGTTAATAAAACCTGCAGTTTAAATCATTTACAGCTACAGCTATAAATATGACGACACAAGTTACTTTTTAGACATAAATTTCTAAAACTGAATATTGCTTACAACATTATAATATTCAGCTGTATACACTCTTTATTTCATTATATATATACACATACAAGTTACATAAGTCATCTTGATATGTTTGTATCACCTCGTAGTATGAAATAAATCCTAATGATTGCCTCATCTAGTCCCTAAAACGGATGTATTTCCCCATCTGTGAACAAAATATACTGAAGGTTTGAGTCAAATACTCAAAGATCAAGATTAATATCTGATGACAAAATTTCAGTTTCTGTGTTACTAAAGATATTAAGGACCCTGTACTATTGGCAAAACCTAACCATACAATGGAAATGTATGAACCACCGCATAGGGAACCCTGGTCCTTGGGTGGCATTTTAAAGTTTGGTTTGATATAGAATGGCATTTACGAAAATTTAAGCTTCGAAACACTTGAATGGCAGATTCAACAATACTAAATGAATGATAGGCAAAAACTGAAGCCAGAGTTCAGCTGGAGTTCGGTGAAAATGTATGTCATTGATTAAAGTCTGTCACACAATCTGAGGTCAGTTTGGGTTTTTGAATAAGAGTGTATCATCAGTTTAACCGGTTTTACAGTACAAAGGCTGATGCATGACAAGCAAGTATGTTAGTCTTATGTTAAATAATATAGCAAGTGATCCATTCATACATTAGTAGTCACATAACAACACTTTCCCTGGAAAATATTCCCCATTTTCTGTTTACTTTGATGTTTACCTGTTCTCACATGGCCAGCCATGCATTCATTCACATGACAGTGACTATGGAATACGGCATTGATACGCTCACTAGTTGGTAATGGACATTTCTTATTGCGAATTGCCGGTTGTTTATTGCTAAATTCAGTATTTAAATTTTTAGGTCACCTGAGACAAAGTCTCAAGTGACCTATTGGGATCACCTTTTGACCGTCGTCGTGCGTCCGTAAACAATTTACATTTTCGACTTCTTCTCTAAAACCCCTGAACCAAATTCAATGAAATTTTGCAGAAACCTTCCATGGTCAAAGGTCAACAAAAGTAGTTGCCGGTTTGGTCCCTGGCCCCCAGGGGCCTGAGGGGCGGGGCCAAAAAGGGACAAATTGACTAAAATTTCAAAAATCTTCTTCTCAAGACACAGATATGGTAGAATCAAATACTCTTCATAGATGGAAGGGTCCTAAGGTGCTTTACCAAAATTGTGAATTTCTTGACCCTGGGGTCTCAAGTTTCCCCCTGGAGAGGGGTTAAACTTTACTTTAGTTTAAATAGGGAAATCACATTTTGGACCAACATTTGTTTAATTGCCATTGGAGGTAATTCAATTCAGGTTAGCATTATCAATATTGGGTAGCAGTTTGATGGTATGCACATATGAGCCCTGACTGACCCCCAGGGCTGATGGGAGGGGCCAAAAAGCGGTAAATTGACTGAAATTTCAAAAATCTTCTTCTCAAGACCCAGATATGGTAGAATCAAACACTCTTCATAGATGGTTTATAATGGCAAATGATACTTTGAATATTACATGTTGTATAACTTGATTGGAATTATAACCCTGAGTTGACAGTTTGATACTTTGAAAATTTTGAGCCAGCCCTACCCCAAAGGGCTGTAGGGTGGTGCCCAAAGGAGTCAGTGTACTAAAATTTCTTCATTTTCCTTGTTTAGAATCAGAGGCACTAGTTTCAAATACTTTTTAGTCTTAAATCTGTATGCTAGATATTGAATAAGGTGGTTTTATTGTTTTTTGTCACTGAATAATATTTCTGTTTGTGTTAAAAACAAAATCAACTCTCTGTATAAATATGTCAGGTGACCGTTAAGGCCCATGGGCCTCTTGTTATATTTTTAACCCCTTTTTGCTTTGACCGAGTTCAGCCAGCACCTACTCATTTTAACACACTTGTGTGACCCGGAGTGCAGAGGATTTGGTACTCAGTCGTTTCAGCACCAAGATGTTTTGGTACTTTTATAAGACATTTCCATGCTAGCTAAAAGTTGTTTCTGTGTTTTAAAAGATTTTCAGCACTTGGAATAACATTTCACTTTTGTACTCTGTTTGGTAATTGGAAAGAATTTAGAGAGATGCTATACTTAGGTACTGAAATGTCTGGAGTTCAGTGGAAAAAAATCAAGGAAATGTTGATAATTCATAATTTATTTTTCTGTTGTGAGAAATGTTACTGTACGAAATCTATATTCTGTTGTGAGAAATGTTATTGTACGAGATCTTTATTCTGTTGTGAGAAATGTTACTGTACGAGATCTATATTCTGTTGTTAGAAATGTTACTGTACAAGATCTTTATTCTGTTATGAGAAATGTTACTGTACGAGATCTATATTCTGTTGTGAGAAATGTTACTGTACGAGATCTATATTCTGTTGTGAGAAATGTTACTGTACAAGATCTTTATTCTGTTATGAGAAATGTTACTGTATGAGATCTATATTCTGTTGTGAGAAATGTTACTGTACCAGATCTTTATTCTGTTGTGAGAAATGTTACTGTACGAGATCTATGTTCTGTTGTGAGAAATGTTACTGTACCAGATCTTTATTCTGTTGTGAGAAATGTTACTGTACCAGATCTATGTTCTGTTGTGAGAAATGTTACTGTACGAGATCTTTATTCTGTTGTGAGAAATGTTACTGTACGAGATCTTTATTCAGTTGTGAGAAATGTTACTGTACATGTTCTTCAGTGTGATAAGTAAAAAATAATTCTTAAGTCATTCATTATGTTCTATATACCTTAAAGTATTAGTTCTATTTTATGACAATATATATTAAATTGTTTTTTGAAATATAGAAGTACCTGCAGGGGTATTAGTGATAATGTATTTTATTTAGAGAGAAGACAAACAAGGGTGGCATTCATGTCAGTTTGACATATATCTAGATTTCAGCATGAATATAGCTTTGGTAAATCATTTATTAAAAAGAAATCATTCCATTGGGATTTTTTTATGAAAAACGGGACTGGAAAAAAAATTCAGCAACATAGTGCAATAATGATGTACATGTGAAAACGTAACGAGGCCGGACCAGGATATCAGCCCTGGATCTCCAGTTATTGCACTAACACTCTAACCTGTACCCCAGCCTAGATGAGCTAGTTATTTTCAAAAAAAATGTAATGGAAGGTTACTGTATCATAATGTGCGCTAAAAACCACTTTAGAATTCTTTAGAAATAGTGGCACAGGGATCCTTTTAAGATACTTAAATAGTATTGTAAAAACACTGTACTAGTATTGTTGTAAAGAATAACTTTGTAAAAGTTTGAAAGTCATGTAATAAGGTGTATAATTTGTTTTCTATCAATCATATAATTTCAGGAGGTAGAAACAGACCAGTTCTACAATTTCTTCCTCCCAGAGCTAAAGAGGGATGGCTACGACGGCATCTTCTCTGCCAAGTCGCGAGCGAGGACCATGACTGAATCAGAGAGGAAATATGTAGATGGTTGTGCAATATTCTATAGAACATCAAAGTAGGTATTCCAGATATTTGTCTGAATAGGCTTAAACATTGACCTAGCTTTCAGGACCTCACAAAAACCAACATTTCTATCAATCAACAATTTTGAGCTATAACTCTGGTTTACATAATAGGTTTATACTGTCGAGGATTAATGATTTGCGGAACAGATTATTTTCTTACACCCTGTTACACAGTTAAGGTCATTCACACATGAGGTTGTTCAGGATTTGAATCGCTGCGTCGTCGTGGTGTGAGTGGTCGAGGGTTTTTTAACTTTCGCCACTGGCAATTGGTCCATAGTTTTGGAGATTTCTCCAACTAGGTCGAATTCTCAAACTTTGCGTTGGTGCTTCCCACTCTTGCCGTCCTGTTTCGACATCATTAGTTTACTCTGGATGTCCTTTGTTCTAGTCTCGCCAATATGGCGGTCACACCGTGGGCGGTGATCAGTGTGTGGCTCAAGACTGATTGCAGTCTATTGTCAGCCTACCGTGCCGTGCACGTCTATAAATAAGTTGACAATCAGTCACTTGTAGCTTTTGTCACTGTATACGAATGTTTAGAGTTCATGAAATTTCAAAATTGTTTGATAGATATAAAGTTTTTGTCGGAGAGGAATTGTCCTTCGCTGACCAAGTAAGAAGATCGATCGCTAATGCTAGAAGATGTGCACGCACCTCTCCATGGTCCCTAGGTACCACTCAGTAGTGAAACAGAATTTGAAGTAATTTGTATAAATAAAACTTTCAGGAAAATATACTTTTGATACTGTTTTGTGTGCTGTAGGCAATTTTCAGAAAAAAGGTGTATACACTACTTAAGGTTTTGTTGAAGAAAATGTCTGAAGTAATGAAATGCCAGTAAAAATACAATGTTCAAAGTATTTTGTGTGTCATGTAGATTTTATACATAGAAAAAAAACCAAAGTGCCCTATTCTTATAACATTTATTTATTTTGGGTAGCAATATCATACGCTATTTGTAATTTAACATGAACTTTTAAACAGTCGTTCATCTGTGCATTACATAAGTGATTGGGGTGAGTGTAACAATGGATGCAGACATAGTCTGTACTTGTGTGTGTTGTTGGATAAACTGTCTGTAAACAGCCCCAATGGACACTGTTGATGGAGGGACCCTTCAGTCCTGGCGACCTGATGTGTAGGCAGAGGTCTGTCAGCTTATACATTGCCCGCCTCATTTTTGGCAGTGTAATAACTCCTAAATGAGGATATAGATTGATGTTTGATCTTCTAGACCCTTTCAGCACATGTGCTGTAATAACATTTCTGTATGTCGGTCATCATAGCCCAGTGTTAATAAAGTCAGTGTGAACATGTATCATATCCTCTGAATTAAAGGGTGTGTTTGTCTTTCAGGTTTTCCCTATTAAAAGAACATCTGGTGGAGTTTAATCAGGTAGCTATGGCCAATGCTGAGGGTTCTGATGATATGCTGAACAGGGTCATGACCAAGGACAATATTGGACTGGCAGCCATGCTGGAAACAAAGGAGGGTGTGTTTGAAAATGGTGGGTTCCTCTTGGTCACATTGGACATAATCCTGACTCATATTTGTAAATGTTGGGAAGAGGGGGGGATTCTAATTCTATTTAGGTCAAGAGGACAAAGCTATATGTATATGGAAATCAATGTTCAAGAGATAAAGTTGGATATTGAAAAAATATATTATCAGTATGATATAATATTTCAAAATCAATATAACAATACACTACTTAATGCTTAGAATAAGAAACTAGCATGTCCTCAATGTTTTTGTTCTGAAATGCTCCCATCATTTCCAGGGCTATTGGGGCACACAGAAACCACATGATGATAGGGCCTCTTTTTCATTAAACTATGTATTGGTCTTGATATATATCCAGTCTTAGTTCGAGACATGTCAATTTTAAAAAAGGACATTTAAGATAAATCCTTTCTAGGGTTTACAAAAATCTCCTTGATCCACCTCTGTATGTTTAGCATTAGATATTCTATACTGTAAAAGAAAGATCAATATGCTTATGAAGTATTGAAACATTCAACTTAATCCCTAGTTTCGTATAAATACTCCAAAGTGGTGAAGATTTGTGAATGAATCCAGAATGCTGTAAGCTGCTGCAGTGGTAGAATAGTAGACAGTTTGTGTGATAATCCCTGGTTGTTTGTTGTAGGTGCACCACCAGAGAACTTAATTCGTCAGCAGATAATGGTAGCAACTGCCCACATCCACTGGGACCCCGAGTTCTGTGATGTCAAACTCATACAGACCATGATGCTCATGTGGGAACTAAAGCATGTCATCGAAGAAAGTATTCGCAGCTTCCGGCCAGGTTCCTCTACTCCGGACATAAACTCCATACCGCTCATATTATGTGGCGACTTAAACTCCCTCCCAGACTCAGGTAAGGAAAAGTCCTGTATCCCCCAAAATACCACATGTGAGAAATCAATCTTCTGTGTCAAGTTAAATCAGGAGAAGTAGTGAGTCCTAAATACTAGCCAAGTCCTATACACCAGTGAGAAGGGACTAACAGTGAGTCCTAAATACTAGCCGAGTCCTTTACACAAGTGAGATGGGACTGACAGTGAGTCCTAAATACTAGCCAAGTCCTTTACACGTGTGAGATAGGACGGATATAGAGTCCAAAGTACCGGCCCAATTAAACACCAGAGAGACAGGAATGGTAGCAAGTCTTGCCTGCCAGTACTAGTCAAGTCCTGTATTCCAGGAGGCTGCAGGACAGCTACATAAATACACTAGGGACAGCCTGCACCAGCTTTCAGGTTTAATGTAAAGAGAGACACACCAGCTTGTATTTTATTACTATTTGTGAGCGTGGTGTAATAGGTAGACATGACAGCTATGTAAGACAGGGTACAAGTGTCAGTACAATGAATGACACCTATATCCCTGTAGAGTTGAATCCTGTGGTGTATCCATTTGCCTAAAAAGGTGTCGGTATTGATTTATGTCAAAGCTGCGACAACTTGTACGGGGATGCTATAACCACATGTGGGGCTTACTAAAGTAGTGTTATATTCATCCATCTCTTGTCTTCTTCTGATGCAATGCGGAAAAAAAATATAACAATATGCTCTGGGGTAAGACATTATTTATAATATGTGCTGAGTACTAGAATATCCTGTTCTATTTAATCCTTGTTTAAATTGAGATTTAGGTTTATTATTCGGTCTCTGATAGCAAGTCTGTTGATTGTTGATTGTAATCTCGTCCATTCTCTCCATGTCAGGTGTTTTGGAGTTTCTGAACTCAGGAAAAGTATCAAGAAATCATATAGATTTTAAGGAGAGAGGATATGATGACTGTCTACAGCGCATCAACGTCTCCACGGAGAAGGATTTCCTGCTTCATGATTTCCGTCTTGGTCGTGCCTACGACAATGATATCATGCCTTTCACCAATTACACGTAAGTGTGGTCATTCTTTTAAGTCAAGATTTCTTAAGTTTTCTTTTTGTTTTCCTGTAAAATCTGATATTATACACCACAATGCACATAGCAAATAAATAATTTAGGTGTATGACTCTACTGATAGGTGAATACTAGTCATAATAAATTGTTTCTGTTGACGTCATGCAAATTAAGTAAACAAATATTTCTGGCCTTGTATTTTTGGAGAGGATTTTTCTTCCATATTAGATATTTAATAACCATGTTTTGTTGTTCATTGCAGATTTGACTTCAAGGGTATCATAGATTACATCTTTTATTCACGTGACCACCTAAACTTGCTGGGTCTGCTTGGGCCCCTGGATGCAGATTGGTTCCAACAGAATAAGGTTGTTGGTTGCCCTCACCCTCATGTGCCCTCAGACCACTTCCCCCTCCTGGCAGAGTATGAGATGCCAGTCCCGAGGGCAGATGGCTCCCGTAAAGTCAATACATCTAGCACGCCGGTCAAGAACAGATAGTGCCTAGCACAATTACTCTCACCTCATCTGCCAAGGAGACATTGACAGTCATAACTTCATATTCACGTTAGTGTTAGGTATCATTGTACCTTTGTAGAAAATATCTTGAGAGTATATTTAATGTTGATTATGACAGAATTTCAAATTTTTACTGTTATTTTTTATTGTACATGAGGGTTTTTCAACCATTTTTATCACTGTCATATCATGAATAGTAAAATTATGTGAATGAATTTTTTATATATACAATTTTTTTAATGAAATGCAAGCAAGGTGCACAACCCCACTTGAGAACAAATAATAAGGGAGACAATTCATGTGTGAATTATTTGTTTGCATTATTTATTGTTACCTATTTATTTTGCCATATCATTGTGTATGGTGAATTTCTGTATCATGACAAGGGAAGAAGCATAATACACACATCCAGCCAGTATGGTGGCCCCACAATCTTCACAACCATGTTCCAAATCTATTTTCATAAGACTTAGATAACAAATGGCAACAGTATATAGTGTGCTATCAGGCAAAATCTCTCCAGTGGTTTTCTACATGGACATGTAATAATTGTAAAGATTGAGTTGATTATTGTATTCATCTCAGATTTAGAATCTCTGGTAGGAGCTTTGGTAACAGCATAACCTGGCAGCTATAGTGTCACATGATGACCCTATTGGTGTAGTGGCCATGGTTATGTACATCTATAGTGTCACATGATGACCCTCTTGGTGTGGTGGCCATTGTTATGTACATCTATAGTGTCACATGATGACCCTATTGGTGTGGTGGCCATTGTTATGTACATCTATAGTGTCACATGATGACCCTATTGGTGTGGTGGCCATTGTTATGTACATCTATAGTGTCACATGATGACCCTATTGGTGTGGTGGCCATTGTTATGTACATCTATAGTGTCACATGATGACCCTATTGGTGTGGTGGCCATTGTTATGTACATCTATAGTGTCACATGATGACCCTATTGGTGTGGTGGCCATTGTTATGTACATCTATAGTGTCACATGATGACCCTATTGGTGTGGTGGCCATTGTTATGTACATCTATAGTGTCACATGATGACCCTATTGGTGTGATGGCCATTGTTATGTACATCTATAGTGTCGCGTGATGACACTATTGGTGTGGTGGCCATTGTTATGTACAGCTATGGTGTCAAATGACAACCCTATTAGTGTGGTGTCCATTGTTATGTACAGCTATGGTGTCACATGACGACCCTCTTGTTGTGGTAGCCATTGTTATGTACAGGTAGTGTCACATGATGACACTATTGGTGTGATGGCAATTGTTATGTACAGCTATGGTGTCACATGACAACCCTCTTGGTGTGGTGGCCATTGTTATGTACAGCTATGGTGTCACATGACGACCCTCTTGGTGTGGTGGCCATTGTTATGTACATCTATAGTGTCACATGATGACCCTCTTGGTGTGGTGGCCATTGTTATGTACAGGTGTAGTGTCACATGACAACCCTCTTGGTGTGGTGGCCATTGTTATGTACAGCTACGGTGTCACATGACGACCCTCTTGGTGTGGTGGCAATTGTTATGTACAGCTATGGTGTCACATGACGACCCTCTTCGTGTGGTGGCCGTTATGTACATCTATAGTGTCACATGATGACCCTCTTGGTGTGGTGGACATTGTTATGTACAGGTAGTGTCACATGATGGCCCTCTTGGTGTGGTGGTAATTGTTATGTACAGCTACGGTGTCACAAGACGACCCTCTTGGTGTGTTGGCCACATGATGACTCTCTTGGTGTGGTGGTAATTGTTATGTACAGCTACGGTGTCACATGACAACCCCCTTGGTGTGGTGGCCGTTATGTACATCTATAGTGTCGCGTGATGACACTATTGGTGTGGTGGCCATTGGTATGTACAGCTACGGTGTCCCATGACCACCCTCTTGGTGTGGTGGACACATGATGACCCTCTTGGTGTGGTGGCCACGTGATGATCCTCTTTGTGTGGTGGCCACATGATGACCCTCTTTATGTGGTGGCCACATGATGACCCTCTTGGTGTGATGGACACATGATGACCCTCTTGGTGTGGTGGCCACATGATGACCCTCTTTATGTGGTGGCCACATGATGACCCTCTTGGTTTGATGGACACATGATGACCCTCTTGGTGTGGTGGACACATGATGACCCTCTTGGTGTGGTTGACACATGATGACCCTCTTTATGTGGTGGCCACATGATGACCCTCTTGGTGTGGTGGACACATGATGAACCTCTTGGTGTGGCAGTCATTGCTATTTCTCGAATGGCTTTATGATGTCACAGGATGACCTGAATGGTGTGGCTACGATGTCTGAGGCTATCGTACATATGTCACACTTTAGAATGAATTCTTCTACTTGCTCATACCTTTTTTGCTTAACAGTTGTATTATTCTCTTGTTACGATGTCATGTTTGATAACAGATACAATTTATGGTTACAGTATATTGTTTGATGCTATAGTAACAATTTATAAAGGAAACTATGGTAACAATCTCTTGTAGGAAACTATAGTTATTATGTATCTTTTGATACTACAATGTATACATATAATGTTAAAATTATTACTATAGTTACGTTGTCAGCTTTGTTATTATAGTTACATTGTCAGTTTTGTTACTATAGTTACAATGTCAGCTTTGTTACTATAGTTATGTCAAAAAATAGTTGAATCAGGTTTGTTACTAAGTTACCATGTCAGTTGTGTTACTATAGTAATAACAATTTTGATACTATATTGATATATTTGATACTTTAGTGACCTTGTCCTGTGTGTGTGTGGTTCACCTCAAATATGTATAGTAACAGCCCGGCCAGTATCATTATACAGGGGTACACAGCACTTGTACTGTATATAGAATCATAGCTAGTTCATTTGGCAAAGCTACACTTTTGGTATATAGATTATTCAATTATTTTCTGTTTTGATTATGAACTCCCATTTTAAATAAGAGATCCTAGAGCACTCTTGCAGAAAAGATTTATTTTATGAAACCCATTCATTCTTGTGAATGTGTTTTGTTGAGTGAAGGATTGAAATTTTCACCTAAGAAAACATATGAATAAGATGTAAGAGTGTGTGTGTGAGCATATTTAAGTTAAAGTAGTTAGGTGTAACCTTTTTTAACATACTCTAAATTAAAAGTTCATTTCATCTCTTATAATGAAATACTAACTTTATTTCAACAGTTTCTAGGGGCCATTTCTTTGCTGTAGTATCTGAACACAGCTTGATATTGCTATACAGTCAAATTGTATTGATTTGAAATAAATTATTTGAAGATTTGTAGGTAAAATATGCAAAATGAATTTACAAAGTCCATTTAAATTTTTAGGTCACCTGAGCTTTAGCTCAAGTGACCTATTGCTATCCGTTTTCGTCCGTCGTCGTCCGTCGTCCGTCGTCCGTCGTCCGTCGTCCGTCGTCCGTTAACATTTTACATTTCAAACTTAAAGTCAAGTTCTGCTGGGCCGATTGAACTGAAAGTTGGTAGGAATGATCGCCTCATGGTCCTGACAAAGTGTTGTTATTTTTCGGGTCGATCAGAAATCCAATATGGCCGCCACGGCCGCCATTTTGAAAACCTATTTCAAACTTAAAGTCAAGTTCTGCTGGACCGATTGAACTGAAAGTTGGTAGGAATGATCGCCTCATGGTCCTGACAAAGTGTTGTTATTTTTCGGGTCGATCAGAAATCCAATATGGCCGCCACGGCCGCCATTTTGAAAACCTATTTCAAACTTAAAGTCAAGTTCTGCTGGACCGATTGAACTGAAAGTTGGTAGGAATGATCGCCTCATGGTCCTGACAAAGTGTTGTTATTTTT